ACGCGATTTGAACGGATCAATTCGGAGCTAAAACGACGATTTTATAAGCAAAACAGTTCAAATGGTATTTCTGTAAATACTGAAAACGTATTTTAGACTAAAGCAGTGAACTTTACGCTTTCAAAACGAGAATGCATACTTGGGGAAATGCGCTTTGGACTACGGGTTCTATTCATCCGAAACCGAGGGACTCTTTAGCATATTTACACGCGAAAGGGTAACTTCTAATCTTGGCCGCAGATCTGAAAATGGACGGCTAGAATCAAATCTGGGGGAGAGAGAAGAAGGGGTGGTCGGAACAGTAGCTCTAGGCGGCCAGGCGCCATGGCCGACGACGAAGACTCTCCGGCGAGCTCGGTTAGGGGCTTTGGTTCGCGATTCGATGACCCGAAGCCACCGGATGAGAGAGGGGGAGCAGGCAAACACGTTCAAGCCGAGAAATCGGCCGAAGGGTGCGGCCGTGGCGGTGGTTGCCATGGACGGCGGCCGGAGAGCTATCGGCGCTCGCGGTTACGGCGCTAGAAGCCACCAAACGCCAAAGAAAAAGGTCGGGGAGAGAGAGGGGAGCATGGGGAGGCTCACAACAGGGAAAATTAGGGTCGGAGACGGCTCGGGGAAGACAGGCGACGCGGACGGCGGACGGCGGTCGGCGGAGCTTCTCCGTGCGGCGGTTGCGGCCTCTGAGGCGTGAGCGAGGGTGAAAATGGAGTGGAGAGAGGCAGCAGGGGGGCGGCTCGGGCGTGGGCTCCGTTTTGTAGAGGCAGGGGTGCGGGTGACGCTCCCACGATCGAGGACGGTGGGCGTGATTCTGGTGCCAGCAGCGCAGCGGTTCGAAGTCACGCTGGGAGGAGGGGGAGAGAGCCGACAAAGGGGGCAGCCAAGGCGTGGGTGGGTGAGGAAAAGAGCTTGGGGCGGCCAGGCCGTCAAGATGGGCCGACGCGCTTGCTGGGCCGCGCGAGGTTGGCTGGCGTGGTGAGCAAGGGGAAGGCCGGGCTGGGCTAGCGCGGTGGGGAGAAAAGGCGTGTGGGCCGAAAACAGAGAAGGGGGAAGAGAAAGAATTTTCTCTTTTTCTTTTTTCCAAACAAATTTTCCAAAAGCATTTTAAATTCAAATTTCAATTCTCTTTGAAATTTTTGATCAATACCAAACATTCACAAAATAATATGCAGCATCATGTATGCATCACTTGTAGCTAATCTTATATTTGATTTTAGTTTTATAAAAATTATTACTTTCCTATGTTTGAATGCTCACATAAATTGCTTAAATAAATCAATTTGACTATTTTTTTAGAAAATGCAAAATTAGGGTTTTACACCCACGAAGGTGGCACGAAGTTTTGTCTGATGCTCTATGGACACATCGCATTTCAAGACATGGTGCTATCAAAGTTACTCCTTTTGAGTTGGTATATGGTCAAGAGGCTGTGTTACTCGTCAAAGTGAATTTGGATGCATACAGGCTTGCTAAACAAAATGATTTATCTATTGTTGTGTATCATGACTTGATGGTGGATAATATCGATGACGTGACTGATGTGAGATTAAAAGCTCTCAAAGAAATAGAGAAAGACAAGGCCCGAGTTGCTAAGGCATATAACAAGAAAGTCAAGAACAAATCCTTCCAAGTAGGAGAATTAGTGTGGAAAACTATACTTCCAATTGTATCGAAAAGCAATCAGTTTGGCAAGTGGTCACCAAATTGGGACGGTCCTTACATAGTGATCAAAGTCATATTCAGTAATTCCTATCTGCTAGAGACGTTGCAAGGTGAACGTCTCACAAGAGCAATCAACATGAGGTATTTGAAAAAGTATTTTTCAAGTGTTTGGCAAGAAGCCTAAGTGCTCTCAAAACAATGGATGATACATGTATCGCCCTTAGAACAAAAATGGTTGGTGTATACATCGTCCTTAGTCACTAAGCAGCCGATGAGATGGGTATCGTCTCTGTTCGGTTTTGTTTAATTAAGTGTTTTTAGGTTCATGCATCATTCACCTAAAAACAGGGGGCATATATTGACAACCAAAATTGTCTATTTTGTGAAGTTATCAAAATGTGAAATAGACTACATCATTGTGTTCCTCTCGTCAAGATGTTCAAAAAACATATTTGGAATGTCTAATTCGGAGTCCGGATGAAGGAGTTATACCCTCTGAAAGATGCTTCGTTGGCGGAAGTTCCAACCAAAGTCGGAAGTTCCGACAATCGGAAGTTTCGGCAATTGTCATGACTTTCGGGAAGCCTGAAGAAACCTGCTCGGGTGCCTGGGGTTATTCCCACATAGGGAGTTTCGACAAAGGTCGGAAGTTCCGACACCCGAAAGTTCCGACGAAGGTCTGAACTTCCGACAGACCTAATAAAAAGCCATGTTCGGATCTGGCCTTTTGGATTCCGATCCAAACTATTCCAAACTTGTGGATAACTTGAGAAATAAGTCTTGGAGAGGTTTTCTACTAGGATAAGACCACACTCTTTATATATATGAGAGGATCATAGCCAATTGAGTTTTCATCTATCCAATCATCGTACAAACCAATCTATCAACTCATTTTACCCCTTTACTCCTCTCTCAACCCCTCCTGCTGTTCGTTGAGTTTCCCGGCGAGATTCATCGGCATCCTAGGTAGCCTTGCTGGTCCTAGGAGATCCTCCTCGTGCTCCTCCGCGATGGGTTTTCTCGGGAGAAGTTCGGAAGCTTTTTCGTCCAAGAACGGGCTCTAGATCGGTTTGATCGATTACGCCGCATTCTTGCTGCGTTGCAGGTTGTGCAACCTCTTTGGGTGTCTAAGACCCTGTTGGTGTGTTGGCTTGGAATTATTTTCAACGTCAACATGTGGCATGGTCATTTGTTACAGTTTTGCTTGCGTTGCATGTGTAGGCTTGCAGGACTGCAGGAGGAATAGATAATTAATTTACCGCAACCCACAAGGCCTGCCCGGCTGCCCTTGTAAAATCATCCATGTGGCTAATGCATTATATTAAAGCATGAAAAAGTTATACAACATGAGAGAAAGAGAAAGAAAAAAGAAGAAGAGAATAACTACAGGAAAAGAGAAAAGAAGGGAAGGTAGCGTATAAGAGAAAAAAGAAAAGAAAACAAACAGAAATATTACAAGAAATTTTCTATCCATGAGAGTCAATTCATAAAACCCCCGATGTGGCCTTATTTGGATGTAGTTGAATTTATATCAATCCACATGTGTTGGGTGGATTAGAGTAGAACTTGAACTAAATTGCAACTCAACATATGTGGATTACAATCCATCTCAACACATGCATATTGAGGTGAATCCGAGAACATCTAAACGAGGCCCGTCTATGGGGATAGAAACCTAGGTGGACACATAATTGTTTGCATTGTTCCATTAGAGTAGATTTATGTAATAAACTTACTTATTTATCAAAATGTTTGCTGGATTAAAGCGAATCGTGTATTAGATTTTTATCTGCATGTGCACACGAATCGCTTGATCCGACACCTATGGAGCGTTGGTGACTAGTCATGGTCGTTCCAGAACATATGTCTCACAGCCTCCACCTACCACACGACAGAAATGGTTTCCACTTGGGCAGCTGGCACACAATACTCGGCTAACTCCCATGTCCCAATACACAAGCGCTGCCGCTGCTGTACCCGCAGTTTGTACTCTCGAGGCGTCGAACCTTCCCTGCAAGCCGACGAGGAATTGAGTTGGGAGCGGCCCAGCCCGCCAGGGCTTGGTGGGTACTCTCTGGATACCACACAGGAGCACGTCTCACTCGAATCGACGCCTCCAAGGCGGCGCGCGTTGGTGACTAGTGCTAGTCGTGGGCATTCCAGAACATATCTGTCGCTCAGCCTCCACGGACCACACGCCAGAATAAATGATTTCCAACGCAGTGTCAATAGAGGCGGCTGCCTGCACCCGGCCTAAAGATGGCAACGGGGAATTCCCCGTTGGGGGTTAGCACCCCATCCCCATCCCAGCGGGGACAGACTTTCCCCATCCCCGTCCCCGTCAACACTCGCGGGGGGAACTTTCTTCCCATCCCCGTCCCCGCGCGGAGATTTAATCCCCGCGGGGATCCCATCCCCGTAACAAAATGTACTCTGCTAGAGCAGAAAGGGCAAAATCAAACCAGTTTCTAATCTCATAGAATGCAAAGAAAGAATGATACGCTAGTTCTATTCTTTCAAATCCAAAGAAAATACATGCCGAAGAGAAAGAAGACTAAAAAAAGACTAGTTCTCTCATCTCAGATCCAAAGAAAATACATGCCAGAAAGAAAGTATACTACTACGAGGCTATCCACTCCCTACAGTTCTCAGCAGTCAGCATCTTGAGTCTTGACCACTGACCATGTCCATCTTGCGCCCACTCCTTGTGGATTCGGATGGGGACCATGACAGAGATTTAGGATGTGAGCTGACTGCAGGCAGGACCGCCGAGCGCGGCAGCTCACTCGTACCTACGGCGGCATGTCCACGTGGGTATGCGGACAGGGAGCAAAGCCTGGTGGAGACGTGGAGTTCGCCAGCGGCTGGTGTGCGCTGTGCTTGTGCGGGAGCCGACTGGTGGAGAAAGCAAAGTTGCGGCTGGGGAGATGAAATGAGGAGCGGTAGAGTTAGGGTTACACAGCTCACATTATATATTCTTGGCTGGCTATTGGGCCTTTAGACGGGCCTTTTACTTCTTCAGTACCGATGGGCCTTAGATAGCGGATTGGGTTTGCGGGGATCGGGGACGGGGGGACTGATCCCATTTCCGTACCCGTCAGACCCGACGGGGACTGATTTCCTACCATTTAAATCTCCGTGGGGGTCAATTGGTCCCATCACCGTCTCCTAATAGGGGAATTCCCCGCGGAGAATCAGAGATCGGAGCCCGTTGCCATCTTTAACCCGGCCGCACTCTCCAGGCGTCTGCCTATATCCCCAAGGAACCCCACCCCACCCATCGCCAAGTCCAAGAACCCAGGGACCGAGATTCAGTTGAGAGCAGCAACAGAGGCAGAGCCATGGCGGCGGCAGTTTCGACCGACGGGCAGGGGCAAGAGGTACCGAACCGGCGGGTGATCCTGAAGCGCTACGTGACGGGGTTTCCCAGCGAGGACGACATGGAGGTGGTCACGGGGACCGCGCGCCTGGACGTGCCGCCGGGGTCGGCGGCCATGGTGGTCAAGAACCTCTACGTCTCCTGCGACCCGTACATGCGCGGCCGCATGACCAAGCACGACAGGCCCAGCTACGTCCCGGACTTCGTCGAGGGAGAGGTAATCGACCACTACCAACAAGTCGTATTTTATTTTATCATCAGATCAGAATTCAGATCATATATATATATAAAAAAAGAGACCGCGCGGATTGTTTTGGTTTGCTTCCGTCAGTAGTTGGACATAAACATGTACTGCTCCTCTGGATGGTCGTCCCGGGTAAAACTTATGTTTTTTCGACGTGGGGGAAGCAACTAAACAAATCTATAGAAACTTGTAGTAAACGAGAATTAAGGGTAAAATTTGACGCCAGGGTTAAAGATAAGGTTTTTTCGCTGTTCTTTTGTTTTTTTGGAGAAATCTCAGAGGATTCGAACTTTGAATGGGCAATGAATCACCTGATAATAGTATTCAATTTTATCGACAATAATATCTCATTACCTTTGTGCGCCGTGGAACTTGTGCAAATTACTAGAAAATTTGGAATCCCGTGCTCAGGTGTCAAGATATTTATGATTCGGTTCAACTTGACTACTGAAAAAAAAAACTTAGGGTGTTTGGTTTCACTGACTAAATTTTAGTCCCTGTCCCAATGTTTGAACACATGCATGAAGTATTAAATATACATTAATTACGAAACTAAATTGAGACTAATTTGCGAGGCGAATCTTTTAAACCTAATTAGTCTTTGACAATGTGGTACTACAGTAAATATGCGCTAATGATGGATTAATTAGGCTTAATAAATTCGTCTAGTTTTATAATTAACTTATGTTTAGTCCTCCTAATTAGCATCAAACGTCGGACGTGATATGGACTAAAATTTAGTCCGTAGAACCAAACACCCCCTTAAATTTAGATTGGGAATCTATGCCTTCATTTATGGGTTAAAAGTGAATTAACTGTCCTCTGATGTTTGAACAGCACATGTTTACCAAAAAAAGAAACACAAGATTGATTGTGTAGTTTTATTCTAAAGAACATCTGGGAGTTCTCTGTACTCTGTTCAGCCTGTGGACTGGTGATAGGTCCACTTCTCTTCCATTTACTTCTTCTTTTTCATCTAGGGACCTTACACTTACAGTTGTGTGCTCCCCTACCCTGGTGCAAATCCTGCAGGCTTTGGTAAACTATGGTGTATGCAAGGTGATAGCATCTGGGCACCCGGATTTCAAGCTCAGCGATCTTGTGTGGGGGATGACCGGATGGGAGGAGTACACTTTCGTCCCTAAGCCAGAGTCATTTTTCAAGGTCAATCATCCTGAATTGCCTCTGTCGTACTACACGGGTGTTCTTGGTGAGTTCATTGTTTAGCTTACTGTATCTTCTTTCAACCAAACTTTACCCTTTCAACCTCAAGTCTTTCTTCCAAAATCTGTTTTATTTTGTGGCCTTTATCCAACTTACAGATTAGACAGTCTTTTACTGAATCCAAATGTTTCTGTGTTCCTCTGAAAGAATCCTTTTTCTTTATTCTTACACTGTTGTTCGAAGTGTTTCTTCCCTAACTAACTATATGGTAAATATAATATCATACTGTTCAGGCATGGCCGGCCTTACTGCTTGGGCTGGATTCTTCGATGTGGGCAAGCCCAAGAAAGGTGACTATGTCTTCGTCTCAGCAGCATCAGGCGCCGTTGGTCAGCTTGTTGGGCAGTTTGCTAAGCTCACAGACTGTTATGTGGTTGGCAGTGCTGGTTCTGACGAGAAGGTTTGTGAAATCTTCTTCTCCTTTGTCTTCTAGCTACTAACGATTTGCTTTCTTTCTTTCTCTAGTTCGTTTACAGTTTGATGAAGTTAGTTGCATACTTGCATGTTGCTGCCATTTGTATTTTTTTCTGGCTTCAATTGTTTCTTGCCAATACTAATTGTTACAACATTTCATCATCAATGATTACGGCTCTTCTTAATTCAGGTCAATCTTCTGAAATCCAAGTTTGGCTTCGATGAAGCATTCAACTACAAGAAAGAGCAGGACCTGGATGCCGCCTTGAGGAGGTTGGCCAGCTCTTCTTGTGTGCATTGTACCCTTGAGCTTCAGCATCGCCAGACAGGGGACTGATCATTCCAGCTGTGTTAACATTCCTCAGGTACTTCCCAGAGGGCATTGACATCTACTTCGAGAACGTCGGCGGCCGCACACTGGAGGCCGTGCTGTCCAACATGCGCACCCATGGGCGGATCCCTACCTGTGGAATGATCTCGCAGTACAACCTGGAGGAGCCAGAGGGCGTGCACAACCTGGGCGAAATCATCGTCAAGCGCGTGCGCATGGAGGGCTTCCTGGTCTTCGAGTACTACGGCCAGTACCACAAGTTCGAGCAGGAGATGGCCGGGTACCTCAAGGAGGGAAAGATTAACTACGTCGAGGACATCGCTAACGGGTTAGAGAAGGCGCCGGCGGCGCTCATCGGGCTCTTCACCGGGCGCAACGTCGGCAAGCAACTAGTCGCCATCGCTCGGGAGTGAGTACGACGCTGAGGGCATAATGTCTACCCGGAGAGTTGAGAATAAGGCCATAGCGTTGGAGTTCAGATGTGCTGGGAATTGATGGTTTGTAGTAGTTTTATGCTGCTTGTGTGAAAAGTTTCGATTTTCTGCTGTTCGTTTCATCTACTCCTGCGCAATATGCTTTGCCGATTGTATTAAAAGAAGTAAGGCTGACTGAAAATTGCAGCCGAGCAGGCACAGGTACCATATTGTAGCTTAAGTTTGCCTGATGTTCCAGATGGTACTCCATGTTGGGTTTAATTGAGTTTATTAGCCCATTTAATTTAATTTAATCAAATATATTCTAAGGGTCCTATTTAATGGTAGAAGTCATGTATTTTTAGGTTCCGTTTGGCGCAACTTCGCTTTACCAGTGAAATTGTTTTTTGGGTTTCAGCTTCAGGAATAGCTTTCTTGGTGAAGCTAAATCTGTTATGGAGATATGTTTGGCAAAAGAGCTTTGTATGTAGCTTTTTTAAAACGTGGTGTCACAAAATCTCACACAGGGCCCACAAGTGTTAGGTGAAAATATGAGAAGCTTTTATTTTCAGCTCATCTTGCCCTGTTTAGAGCACAATTTAAGAAGCTTCATGAGTGAAGCTATTTTCAATAGACTTGTCTAATCAAAAATAACTCACAACAGCTCATGAAGCAATTAGTGAAGCTGTACCAAACAAGACTAATTCATGTGAACCTGAGGTTGTTCTCGCACTCTAGGTTGATTGATTGCGCCATTGCGGTACACTATACCACAGCCAATCTACAGCGTCGGACGACGATCGCTAAAACATAATATTAACGAACAACAATCGGTCGGTATAAATTTCAACAAATCATCGGTTGCTATTTTTACTTTTAGCAACTGTCGATCGGTCGCTATATATATTTAGTTGTTTCCTCAAACGATTGGGTTGTTTCCTCAAACGATTGGTAGATAAAAACACACATTAGAGTCAAACAATCGGTCGCTATAGCCTAATTTTGTTTTGGCACACTCGGCCCAGCCCACTTGCACATAGTAATCTAATTTGAAGCAGCAGAACTTTCGAATATGAATATAAACTGCGAAGTCATCTTTGTTTGTATTTTTTACCTATGTAGGTCCCATAATTAACTTCATGTGTGTACTGTTTTGTGTTCAGGTAGAGGGAGGCCTCGGAGGTGTACATGATGCTGGATGATGTCACTAGGAAGCCAACGTATGACATTTTGCTTTTGATAACATAGAGATGAGTAGTGAATCTAGTTATATTGTGCAAGGAAACATATGACTTGTGCCTGCAATTTGGCGTAGCTAAGTTGTATGTGTTCTTTTTCCTTTTTTAATGATGACCTATCATGGATCAGATGATAGAATGTATTGCTAAATGTTGGTTTCAATGAAAACTTGAGATATCTTTATCTAATAATGTGGTTGATGAGTGTTGTGGGCAACTATCACTACTAGAAATATCCACTTCTATGACGAAAATCTTCATGACGAATCCGAAACTGTCATAGAAGATCGTTTTTTATTATCAATATTTCCGTTTCATCATAGATCAGTGGTGACGATCCTCAAACCCTCCCTATCTATGACGAAATCCGATATTATCACAAGAAACGTCATAGAAGAGCACAAGATTTCATCACATATCACTCGCGCGACTCATCTGTGATGATCTTCTTTAATACTGTGACAAATAGGGCTTCGTCATTAAAATAATTACACATCTGTTTCATCTGTAACGAACAATATTCGACCTGTAACGAACAACACTTCGTCTTAAATGTCCGCACGGTCCTTTCTCCAACCGATGTGTACTTGTGGGACCATTCTCCATCTAACGTGTATTTGTGGGACCTGTAGTTACTCATCCGTGACACTTGCAATTCGTCATAAAAGTCTCCAACCGAGACTGCCAATCAGGGACTAAAGGCCGGCCCTTTAGTCACGGGCCGTCCAACCGGTATTGAATGGGGGCCTTTTAGTACGGTTACTTATACCAACCGGGACTAAAGCGGGCTCTAGGCCGAGCCCGAGGACGACCACCTCTAGTCCCGAGTGGTTTAACCAACCGGGACTAAATATCCCCTTTTCTATTTTCTTTTCTTTTGCAGTTTCTTTCCATTCAATTTGTTTTCGTTCCAAATAGTTTTCGTACACGTATTATATGCTATACAATTGTACGTGATCCATAAATAAGAACGAAACTAATCAAGTAAGAGCTTATATATAATAATAATTTAAAACAAGTCATTACAAGCTAGATGTCCAACTTAAAATATTCCATACTAGATATCAAATTACACCCCAAAGTTCATGCAAACATAAGTAGCTAGAAATGCCTTTGACTTTCTCGTATTATCAACTCGGCAAAGTATAGATCGCCGATGTGGTATCCACAAATGTCATTGACATAATTCAAGGCATTAAATAATGTACTCTCCGAGCACAGGGTCTACTAACAACAGTTAGTGGTGTCTGAGTAGTCGGTCGGTCAGATGATCCCCTCTTAGTCGCAAGCAGCTTTTCCTAAAATCCTGCCGTAGTGCATGTTGGCCACTCATCGACATATTTCCAATCATAACCCAATGCATACATTGTTTGGTTTAGAATGGCTTCAAAGCTGCAACCTACGTAGGTTAAGTCATAGTCCTTAACCTATAATTAAGTGTTGGCAGAAAAAATGGATATGAGAACCAAGCTTTCCAATAACAACAAATATGGATACAAGCTATGAGTTCGACTTTGACTTACCACATCATTCCGGTTGTTTTGAGCCATCCTTGCACAAAAGCCCACAACATCATGATAAGAGCCCGCATCAATAGCTTGTATCGACACGGAAAAATAGGTAGGCAGAGTGTATCCAATATTTGCAAGCTTATTTACACATGCTAGGACAACATTTTTTTGTGCAACAGCCTTATCAGATGCCTTTACTCGCACCTCCGAGATTTGTACAACACCTCTACCCCTCCTAGCATCGATGGAAAAGCCAACTCGACATTAGATGAATCGACTATTATCTATCTCAAAGCTCTCAACATCCACAACCTCAACTCCAAAATTCGAGAGTGTCTCTTTAAGCCAAATGATTGAGTCAATTACCTATGGTACATTTAAGAAACACATATATACATATTAGAACAATATATTTTTGTACAAGCGTAATTGAAACATATTGATTTATTGAAAACATATATCGTTGCTTACTATGCTATGATGATTGAACGGTACATTCGGCAACACTGGATCGAATCCATGAGTAATTGTATAGCCCCAACCTGGAACAATCGGTTCAGGGAGACGTCTAGCCATCTCTTCTCACTACAGCTAACATATCAAAATTCCTATCACTGGAGTTAATATATGAATTCATACACCAAAATTCATATATTCATAAGAATTTCCCTATATATATATGCTATTGGGAGCATAGGGCTCCCAATAATTAGTGGAAGCCCTAGCCCAAACTGTTCCTACCTGGTTCCACCAGACCAGCCTCCACCAACCTGCCCAACCCCATCCCGAGCTAGTTGCACAGAACCAAATCAACCACGAGCCCCCTCCAGACCTCCTCCTCTCTCTCTCTCCACATTCATTATGAAATCATCTTTTCTCTCTCCTCCGGCTCCAGGCACAGGCAGGAAACGGAGCCCCTCAAATCCCAGCGGTGCTCCTCCCTCACCGGCAGTGCTCTCCCCAACGTGGCTTCCCTCCTCCAACAGCACGAGAGCGCAGATCCAGCCATGGTCGCCCACCTTCTCTCATCGCTCTCCCCGGCGGCGATGGGCGACATGGCTCCGCTGCTGGGCTCACGGCTGGGCTAGGACGACCGCGGCTGTGGCTCCACGCATACCAAGGGTAGGGCCGGGGTGGACTCGCTGGTCGGCAGCGCGCGCGCGCCCAGCCACGCGTGGGCCAACATGGGCTGCTGTCACCCACTTGGCGATTGTAGCACCCGGTTTTAAGAGCAAAACCAGATACACACCATATGTGAGCCTAGAAAGACAATGCTCAATATATAACGCACTTAGTATAAAGGACATAACCTTAGGCAGCAAATAGCGGATAGACAACTATGATCTTTGGGCGAAGACTCCAATTCCACAGGGATGACTGACTGGTTGATCATAAGCCTAATCCCTCTAAACTCAAACAATCTGGTACCCATCCATGATTTTTCCAAAGATTTAAAAAGTAAAGCAAGCGTAAGTACATGTCGTACTCAACAAATATAACATTGGGTTCATGAGGCTCAAAAGGCTGACACTGGTTTAACTGCGATTAGCTTTTAATGAGTCATATTTTAGCAATTGGGTGGCAACAAGTTTATTCACAAGCCCATATAAACACATGATTAGGTAAACATGAATATTGAATAGCATAAACAGTAATCATTAGTGAGCATCTTCATCATCAGTATCATCAGTGTTCATCATCTATTCCGTAAGGGTTGAAGGCCACTCATGACCGTGAGCACGGCTGATATACCAGTTTTACACTCTACAGAGGTTGTACACTTTCACTGTGTGTCGTGATTTACCCTTTCGCCTAAGGTGATCAGCCTCTTGACCCACAACCAAGGAAGGTCGGCAGGGTTCACTATGAAGCCTTTCAAAGGTTCGTCAAACAAGTTAGGGCCATTAGATTCACTCGGTAAACAGATATAGGAACCCCCTTCCCGATGGCACAATGACATGCAGCCTATACACAAGGGGACTGAGGCTGTCCTATATCTGATTCGGCAAGCCATTTTTACGTCAATAAAGGTAACCTCTAACAAGCTAGAAAAGGTCCTCATACTGAGCTAAAGCCAAAGCCATGTAGCCCTCACAGTTGTACTGTAAGTCCCAGATGATCACTTACAGATAAGTCCTTAGGGAGAGGAATCTAGAGCACCATAAAAACAACACAATGCTCTAGGCCCGGATTCCATGTTGCTAAAAAGCATCTTTTAATGTTTATTGCATATACCATTTGTCAAGTTACA